TATCCGAGGCACCGATCACGATATCTGTTAGATTTAGTAAAAATTGCTCAACTAGCCCCGCTCTACCCTATTAATATTTGAAATTTTATGGGTGGGTTTTTATTCGACACCTACCTAAAATCGTTTCTTGTATTTTTTGGACAAAGTTTTTCAAAAAAAACGACGTTTTTTTTCCGCAATAAAAAATCAAGTGACTAAGCTCACAAGTATGGGACCATTCATAAATAATGTCATTTACTGACATCAGGGAAAGGGGATTCTAAAAAGTTTGACAGTACGCGAGGTTAAAATTATTTTGTTCTATCTAAAGTTATCTTTATAATATTCTTCTAAAGTTATCTGGTAGTACAGATAAGCTTTTTCAATTTTTTTTTAAAGATTATCTTTCCAACCTATTGTCACTTTAGGCGAATCATAACCTATATATTTAAGTATATATATATATATATATATATATATATATATATATATATATATATATATATATATATATATATATATATATATATATATATATATATATATATATATATATATATATATATGTATATATATGTATATATATATATATATATGTATATATATATATATATATATATATATATATATATGTATATATATATATATATATATATATACATATATATATATATATATATATATATATATATATATATATATATATATATATATATTAAGGTCCTTATCTACTTTTGATTAATAAAATTAATTAGTATTTAATCTTAATTAATTAACATCTTTTTATTTATTCTTATCTTAAAAGATTTAAACCAACATTTTATTTTTTCTAATTAGTAACTTTTTATTTTATTTTTTATGTATTTATTACTCTTTTTATATATTTCTACTATTTTTATATATTTATTACCAGAAAATCTTATTTCTTATAAACTGGTTACAATTATATATGCTATAAGTAATAATTTTTATTTTACGGAGTTAATTCTCGGGGCTTGGTGATAAGACTAATTGTGCCTTCTTTTTGCCCCGGCTATCTGTATTTAAATACATATATTTAAATACAAATATTTATACTGAAATATTGATTGTATGTATATATACTTATAAGGTAAACCAAAATTTAAAAAAATCTCCACTTTTTGAAAAAATCGAGTTATTGATTGTGCTATGTACCTCAAAATAATGTTTTTCTACTATATTAAAACCTAAGTTAAAATCAAAAAAATAATAAAAATCCTTTTATATCTCCTAAAGTTCTTATTTTTAAAGCGTTTTATCTCAAAACAAAAAAAATGTGGAGAACAAAATAATTCTAACCTCGCAAATAATTGACAATGGGGAGATAGGATGTTGAAACCAAAACAATGTCAATTTTTCAAAACTTTTTTTTTCGTGGTAAACCAACTTAAGCTTATACGAGCAGATTTTAAAGGTATTTACTAGATGTAAATACCTTTAAAATCTGCTCGTATAAACTTAAAAAAAAAGTTTTGAAAAATTGACATTGTTTCAGTTTAGATATAGAAATGTTATATTTGCTTTGGGGGAAATTTAACATAAGTTTACAAGAGAGATTAAATAGACTAAAAATTAACTAACGTTTTATTATCGTATTATCATTGTTTACAAATATCAACTATTTCAGTATATAAGGCCCTACTAAGCCAAAAAGACCACTTTTCCTCAAAAACGAGTTATTGGTATCATTATATAGTATGATGGGTATGATTCATAGTTTAACCATGATTTTACTTCTTTTTGACCACTATGACATGTCAAACTTTCGAGCAGAAACGATGTTCGCGAATGTTGGGAAAAGCTTGATGTGGCACAATAGGCTGCAAAAAGACAATGGATAACCTTTCAGTTGAGTATCGGAAAAATAACGAATTCGAAATGGCGACCAAGGTCACAAAAGAAATTGTAGCAATAGAGTCTGTCTACATGGAAGCAGACGAAATGACACACGAACACCTTTACTCTTGAAAAGATGACGCTTCAAGCATTGTCACAATAGGGGATGGTGGTGAACGTAAACGTCAACGAACAGGATTGATCAAAAAATGAAAAATAAAAATAGCATCAATAAAGTTGGTTATGAACAAAATGGATGTGGATTAATAGAAAATGGATTGATTGATGATGGATATGAAAAAAATTTGAAGCAAAATCGGCAAATAGAATGGGATGAGTTGAAATATGAAAACGCAAAAACGCTCTGTTGTAACTGGTTGGCGAGGTGAACCATTTAAAATAACGGAGTGCTGGGAAAAAGGTATTAACTTTCAACCGACAAATAACGACTTAAGTACGAAAAGTGAAATTGGACAAGACTTATGGAGGCACTTATCTAGAGTGTCGATTTCTTTCTTTTCTGGAGATAAAACGCAATACGAAAATTGGAAAACAGCGTTCCAAGCATGCATTGATAGGGCTCCAGCTACACCGGAATATAAGCTCTTGTAACTACGCCAGTACATATCAGGAGAAGCTTCAAAAGTTGTTGAAAGTTTGAGGTATTCAAAAGCTGCGTACGAAGCTGCATAAGATCGACTCGAAAGAAAGTATGGGGGCAAACGACGACATATTGCCTTGTATTTGGAGAGAGTGGAAACTTTAGTAAAGTAAAACCAAACAACCCAAATGATCTTGAAAATTTTGCTGATATGTTGAACATTGCAGTCATAAATTTAAAAGAATTGGAAAAATTCGAAGAGTTAGCAGATGGCTCACTCTACATCAAACTTATGAAGAAGTTAGCAAAAACAAGGCTAAGTGTATTTTTAAGATGGTTATTTGAAAAGCAAAAACGTCCTGGGGTGGAATCGTTGCTGTTACTGTTTTATACAGTTGAACAGGAAACCTTATGTGGTTTGGAAAATACAAAGTATAATCAAGAAAAACCTTTTAAAAACTTTAAAGAAAAACAAAGAACATACTTTGGAGAAAAGCTCAAAAACGATGTAACAAAATCGTGCAAAATTTGTGATGGTAAACATGCAGTTTGGGAATGTGAAAAGTTCAAATCCATGACAGTAAGTAAAAGATGGGAATAAGCAAAGTTTTATCATTTATGTTATTGTTGTTTTGGTAATGATCATGTTGGAAACAAATGCGAAAGATCAAGAAAATGTGGAGCCGATGGTTGTCAGGAAGTTCATAGCAGACTATTGCATTTAAAGTAACGAACAAGAGAAAAAAAGGAAGAAACAATTTTTCTTATCAAGTTTTCAAAGTTTTCAAGATCAAAGTCAAGATGTAGCTATGAGAACTTTACCTGTCATTTTAACAGATGGAAAGCTGTCGATAAAAGTTAACGCTCTTATGGATGATGTTAGTACCCAAACCTATATAAACAGTGATATAGCTACAGAACTTGGATTACAAGAAGTAATGAAAGAAATTAAGATTAATGTACTCAATGGTAGAGTAGACACATTTGTAAATTGAAAAAATAAATAAATGCATTAACAGTTGATAGAGTTACAAGTAACATGTAAGTGGTGGAGTGGAATAAATATAAAAACCATTGGAGTCACCTAAAAACTATATCATTTTGCAGATTGGGACAGCGACCGATTGTAGATATTCTTTGTGGATTGGATAACGCTGAGCTTCACTCATTGAAAACAGAAGTTAAAGGACGCACTGCAGATCCAATAGCACGACTTACGCCACTTGGATGGACATGTTTTGGGCCGCTTGGACGTAAATCATTATACTTACCACACCAGGACGTTAACTAAAAATTTTTACGAAGTTGAAAAAACTAATGAAACACTAATGACATTTTGGGAAACCGAAAATGTTCATCCAACATCAGAAACGCAAACTGGAAGTGTTAAATATAAAAAGGCCCTAGATCAAGCGGAAAATTCGATATATAATGTAGATGGGCGATATCAAATTAGCATTCCTTGGAAAGAAGATCCAAAATCGTTACCAAACAACTATGAAATGGCAGTAAATCGGTTAATAAGTACGGAAAAATGGCTTAAAAGAAAACCGAAGGTGACGGATATTATCAAAGAAACAATACGGAACTACTTAACTAAAGGTTATATCAAAAAAGTAAGCAAAAATGATTACAAAAATCAATGGGTTCTCGTACACTTTTGCGTTGTAAAGTTGGAAAAGGAGACTAAAAAAGTCAGAATTGTTTTTGACGCTGCTTCAAAATGCCAAGGTGTTTCGCTGAATGACATCATCCATCAAGGACCAAAACTGCAACAAGATCTCTGTGTCGCTCTGTTGAGATTCCAAAAAAACGCAGTCGCATTGCTGGGTGATATTACAGAAATGTACTTGCAAATTGAGCTGAATTCGAAAGATCGAAGATACCACAGATTTCTTTGGCGGGATCTAGAAGAAATTAAAAACCCTGGGTTATTTGAATTTACAAGAGTTATATTTGGTGTCAATTCCAGCTCTTTTCAAGCACAGTTTGTTATACAAAAACATGCAGAGAAATATAAAAAGAAGTTTCCACTGGCTACGGAGATTGTTGATAAGTCTAAATATATGGGTAACAGTATGGATTCCGTTGAAACCGAAGAAAAAGCAATTAAACTATATAATCAACTTACACAACTGTGGAAAAAAGCGGGAATGACCGCAAGAAAATGGATTTCTTCTTCAAAGACAGTGATGGAATGCATTCCTATTGAAACTATTGCAGAAAAATAAACACAAACATAGACAACTTACCTACAGTGAAAACACTGGACGTATCTTGGGAAGCAGCCGAAGATATGTTTACATTTAATTACACTCTACCATCAGAACCAGTTACGAGTAAACGACTGCTCTTAAAGTACATCTCAAAACTCTTTAATCCACTTGGGTTCTTGTCTCCTTTCATTATTCGAGCAAAAATATTATTTCAAGAACTATGGACGTCAGGAAAAGATTGGGATGAACGCTACCAGACAAAATAAAACAAAAATCGGATATCTGGTTTAACAAACTGACAAGTATTCACCAATGTAAAATACCACGCTGTTTACGTATCAAAAACAATGATAAAATCATTTATTCAATCCTTCACGTATTTGTCGACGCTTCAAAGTTTCTTTTCTTTTCTTGGCGAAAAGAAAAGAATAAACGAGACAACAAGCCATGTTGATATTAAATGGTATTTTAGCTTACCAGCAGCCCCTCATTTCGGAGGAGTTCATGAGATCATGATAAAAACCGCAAAACGAGCAATTTATTTCCAACTGGGAAATGCGGATATTACTGACGAAGAGCTTATTACAGCGTTTGCTGGAGCAGAAGGGCTTATAAACTTACGACTAAGGGGTGTGCAGTCTTTAGGATCGAGTGATCCTAAAGACTGCACACCCCTTATCAACACCAAATCATTTTTTATTCGGACAATTAGGTGGTAAGTTCGCCGCTGATGCAGTGGAAATTACTTCATTCAACCCAAAAAGAAAATGGCGACGAGTCCAAGAATTAATAAAACATTTTTGGCATCGCTGGATGAAAGAATGGTTACCCATGCTTGGACCACGAAAAAAATGGAATATCGTAATGGAAAACTTATCGATAGGCGATCTGGTGTTTGTGATCTCCGAAAATACTTCAAGAACTTGGTCACTTGGTCGGGTAACTGAGGTTTTCCCTGGAAATGATGGGTTAGTGCGTGTCGCCAATGTTCAAGTTGAGAAGGTTATCTTAAAACGTTCGATAACCAAGTTGTGCCCTCTTGAGCCAAATGAACCAAAAGATGTTGACCATTTGGTCAAAAGGGAGGAGTATGTTCACGAGGCGATTAGTGTAAATGGTAGTTTAATGTAAATAATATAATTGAATTATAAACGTCTCCAAGCGTCATATATTGACGTTAGAGATTTCTTTAGCTAATAAGGCAATTAGCAAATTTTGTATATAGATTATTATAAAGTTAGAAAATACCTATAATATCTCTCTTTGGGAAATGTTATATGGTATAAATAATCGTGTAAAAGTTTTTAAACAGAGGCGTTTTTTGTTAGTTAGTTATTAACGTTAAAACGAAATATACAATGCTGAAATAAATCACGTATTATTATTGAGTTTAATACGTCCTACACACTTTCACACGAACAGATAATGCTGCCAAAACCTGTAGGTTATACAGGGAAACCTGTTGCAGCAATTTTTCTCCTAATTCTGCTACTAGTTTAATGAAAGTTGCCACAAAAAAGAGATTAAGATCTAAATTTTTTTTTTTTAGAAAATAAATTTAGCGTTGCGTAATTTATTGACGATTCCTAACCCTAAAGACGATCCCTAACCCTGCAGCAAAAGTTATCGCGTTATCAAATCTTATTTTAGAAAATGAACTTACTAAAGAATTGTTTCAAATAAAACAAATTCATAATGCAAATTTTAGAAAGAAACCTCTTTCCATATTTGACTTATTAAACAAAATTTCTGAAGTGAAGCTTGTGGAAAATATATATACTTCTTTATTTATTTTCTGAAAGAAAATAAATAAAGAAGTATAGAAAATAGAAGTAAAGAGAAAAAGTTAATGAATGAAATAAATAAAAAGAATGGAAAAAAAGGAAAAAAAAACTATATGCATCGAAAAAAGATCGGAAAATGAAGATTTTTTTATTTTTTCATATATTTCTTTTGTTTTAATTCATATATTTCTTTAGTTTTCTTTTATATTTTTTTAGGATTCTTTGTTTACGAATTTTTTATTTAAGCGGTCTTGTAGTAATGATTTTTCTTTAGTTTTTTAGCGTATAAAAATTTACTTATTATTTTTTGTTAGTCATTTATTGTTTTATTTTTAAGTTATTTAATTATTTTTAAATAGTGATATCTAATTTTTTATTGTGTTAAATATTTTTTGTTTTTATTTTCGTTTTAAGCATTTGTTATAAATGTTTTATTCTACCGTGTATTATTATTACTTTTTTTTTTTTTTTTTTCTTTCTTTCTTTATTATTTCTAATATATGTTGTTCTTTTCTTGTAGTTGTTGATGTTGTTTTTTGTTTTTATTGCCTAATGAACATAACTTAAATTTTTGTTTTGCTTGTAATGTTTGTTGTAACTTTGATTTTCTCAGTATTTTTCTTTTTTGCATTCTATTTATTTGCTTTGTCATATTATTTGCAATATATTTCGGTTATTATATTATAAGAAAAATATATTTACTAAATCTGTATAATTTTTTTTAGCAGTGGTTGTTTTTATGTCATCGTTAGTTGTTACGTTTTGTTAGTTAATTACTGTTTGTAACTGTAACTTTGTATGTAATAACGATTGTTGTATGGAAATTTTACTGATTTATTTAAATTATTTTAATTAGTATATTATTATTACTATTATTAAAATAAAATGTTATTATTATTATTATTTATTGTTATTATTATAAATATTATCTTTATTATTATTACTATTTTAATCGTTATCATTAGGTGTTTACGTGAAGTTAGTAGTTTATACTATTTGTAAACAACCTTGAAATGTAAGACCAAATGTTTCAGAAATATATATTGATATTGATTGATTGATTGGAACTCTTTACAAATATAGTGGTTGCATTGCGTATTTTTGCTTCAATTCCAGTGACAGTGGCCTCAAATGGGCGTTCATTTAGTAAACTAAAGCTCATCAAGAATTTTTTAATTTATATAATTAGCATTGAATTGTTCTCAACATTATATTAAATTTATTGATATTGATATAAAAAAAATTGCTTATTTTTAATATAAAAAACAAAGTAAGTTCTCCGGAACCACTCTCTAACCATGTGTCCAATACCACTCAATCATACCTCATTCAGAAATACTAATTTTAAAACCAGTTAGTTAAAGTATTCAACGAATTTTTTTAATAACTGTTTTAAATAAAAATACATCTTTAATCAATAAAAAGTTATTAGTTTACATTAAAATTAGATATATTAATGTGAATCAAGTATGATGATACATTCCCAGTGAACACACAAACGTCTATTAAACGTCAAAACAACATTTCGACAAAACGTTCAGATTTGGTCGATTATCCGTTTAGAATGAAATCCAGATTAACGTTTAGAACAAACTTCCATAAAACGTCTATATTCAAACGTATTTTAGACGTCTATCATGGAATAATTATACGTATATAAAGCGTTTAGATTTTGTCTAAGTTACGTTTAAATCTAGTCTAATTAACGTATATAAAGCGTTTAGATTTAGTCTAAGTAAACGTATATTAAACTATTATATAGTTTCTTTGATTTAGTTAACACAATTTCAATTTATTTAAGTTTTAAAACTTACATAAATTAAAATTGCATTATAACTTTTCAACTTTATATAAGTAATAAGAGCTAACTAGGTCTTGAAATTTGTAAATAAGATATAGTTATAAAAGTAATGAAACTTATAAATAAGATATAGTTATAAAAGATCTGGTCTTATTTTTTATAACTATTTCAATATGTTTATAGTATACTACCTATACTTAAAAAATACTTGTTTTAGCAAACAAGCATTTTTATAAATTTTTAATTTTTGACATTGTTGATTTTTATCCTTCTATCAATGAAAGTCTTTTGAATGATGCCATTAAATTTGCTGAGAATTTTGTAACCATTAAAAACGAAGACAAACTTATAATTAAACAAGCTCGAAAATCGTTGTTGTTTAATAATGAGCAACCTTGGATTAAAAAGAACAGTGGTTTGTTTGATGTTGCAATGGGTGCTTTTGACGGCGCAGAAGTATGTGAGCTTGTCGGAGTTTTTCTTCTTTTTCAGCTATCACAGCATTATAACAAGACAGATTTTGGCTTATACCGAGATGATGGTTTAGCGGTTTTTAAAAATGCTAGTGGCCACCTTATGGACACGATAAAAAAACATATTATTCAAATTTTTAAAAATAACAATCTTTCTATCTCCATACAATGTAACATGAAAGTTGTGAACTTCCTTGATGTAACACTTAATCTCAATGATCAATCTTTTAGACCATTTTGTAAACCAATCAATGAACTAAATTATATACATGTTGATTCCAATCACCCTCCTAGCATAATAAAGCAACTTCCTCGTTCTATAGAATTAAGGTTGTCAGCTAATTCATCTAATGACACTAGCTTTCGAAGCTCTGCTCATTTGTATCAGGATGCATTTAAAAAGTCTGGTTACAAATTTAAACTTAATTATATTCCGAAACTCATTCAACCTCTACCAAAAAACCGTAAGCGCAATATTATCTGGTTTAACCCCCCATATAGTAAAAATGTTTCTACTAAAATTGGTAAAATCTTTTTGGATTTAATTGACAAGCACTTTCCAGTTGGACATAAATACCACAAGATTTTTAATAGAAATACTCTAAAGGTGAGTTACAGTTGTATGCCAAACATCAAATCAATTGTTAACTTTCATAACCGTCATATTATGAAAAGCATCCCCCCAGAATCAGATAAAAGTTGCAATTGTATTACTAAAAGCAAGTGCCCTTTAAATCAACAGTGTCTCGTTAATAACATAGTGTATCAAGCCACTCTATATCCAGGCACTCCAGACGGGATTGAAAAAGTGTATTTTGGAGTAAGTGAAACTGCTTTTAAACTTAGATACGCTAATCATACAAAATCTTTTAAGATCGAAAAATATAAAAACGATACTGAGTTGTCTAAGGAAGTATGGAAGTTAAAAGAAAATGGAGTAAACCCGACAATTAAATGGAAAATTTTAAAACGTTGTAGATCTTACAATCCCACAATAAAACGATGCAACTTATGTCTATACGAAAAGTATTTCATAATATCGTACACCTATGATAACTTATTAAATAAGAGGAATGAATTAGTATCTAAATGTAGACATAAAAGCAAGTTCCTCCTTTCGAATTTCGATACGGGTGATTAGGCAGCCGTTTTTAGGTTTTTGTTTTTGTTTTGTTTTGACGACGGAGCACATTCCACTGTAACTTTATATTTTAACGGTTTTTTTTGTTTCTTGTTTTGTATTACATGGCTGATGATTGCCTTTAGGCATGAAACTATTAGTACCAAAAAAAAGTTGTTTTCTTTATTTTTATAAATTAATATAATGCTCTATTAAATAATATAAATAAATTCTATTTATTTATTATTGAGCACTCTTATACGTTCAAGAGTTTTTTGTATTTTATTGCAAATACTAGGTACGTGTGTAAAAATTTCAAATTGTTTAAATATTAGATTGTTATATATTGTTGGAAAGAATTTTAAACAAATATTCCAAAACTGAAAATTTTATCAAAATTGGATGGTTCTACAAAAAGTTATGAGCATTATAGTGACGAAATTTGATTATAAGGATTCCTTAACAAAAATGTGACCAATTTATAATGGTTTTGTAACTTAAACCGCTTAACATTGTCAAATCTTATCTAAATGCATATAAC